CACGCCTCGGGCTCCTTCCGAGCGCACTTTATACTTATCGACTCCCGGTCCGAGGTGAGCTACTCGGCCAGCGGTCGGTCATCGGACACGGCTAACTAAGAGAGAGGCATCGTTCAACATGAACAGGAAAGGCTCCAAGATTCGATCCTTAATCGACACGCAGACGGAGTCACCGCAAACCGGCAAGCCTCCGTCCGGGTCTTCATTTCAAATTAAGACTGGTTCTTTTCCACGATAGCAAATATAGCCAACCGTGCCATATGTATCTTCCTATATCTCGCGGTGATAGGAAATCACACGACTTCTACCGTGTTTAAGCGGGCTAAGCACCACACGAGCTGAGCTACATAGGATTGAGGTATCAATATCTCGGACAAGGATTGGATAACCAATGCAGCAAGTGTTTGCATCCAACACCTAAACTTAGTGCAACAATATATATATGTAACAATAATACTGTAACTGTATTTTGAAAATTAGGAGGCTTAATATGCTTCGGGGCTTGCCTTTCACAAAGTTGCACAAATGGTGATCCGGACACTCAACGGCGACCTCGTCTGGCACTTCTCCTGAAGGCTGCACCTCCTGAACCTCCGGTGTTGGCTGCTGCTGCTCCTCGCTCGGTTCCTCGAATTCCAGCAGTGTCACACCTTCCGGTACACCTATTGTATGCCAATGCACAAGATAAATATCATGGATGCATAAGGAATGACATGATGCTCATGATGAATGAATCACAGTAAGTGTTTAACGAAAACATCACTGGACACTCGTTTACCGAGTAAAATAGCTCTATTCAAATCACTTTAAGCATGTATCTAACTTAACTTAAAGAACAAGATCAACTTATCTAACTTGCATAACCTAAGATAAAGATGCTCATCTTCAGTTAAAGGCCTAACACCTAGGAACATTACCACAAACTTAGAAATAGTAAAGGCATACATAAATTATCATTTAAAGTTTCATATGCACACAAGTAGTCCCTTAATTTAATCATAACCAGAGTTCTATAAATTCAAATGACTTGTAAGAGGACATTCTGGAAAGCTTATGAAATTCTCTACAAATCATTTGTAAACATCAAAGCATGATTCTTACGTTAACCAAACCGAATTCCAGTAAACCTAGAATCTGTCCAGAAACGACAGGGTCGCTAAATTAAATATTTAGTGATGATGCAAAAGCCTAATTTGACCTAACCAAGTTTACCAACTTGTTGCACATACCAGAGGAACACTAGAAAGCATAGTGCCAACTTCTAAACAATTTATTTAATGCCATTTTCTAATTTCTTTAGTTAATTAGGTGATTAAAGCAATATATAGTAAAACTGTTCAAAAAAATCTACAAAAATTACAGTAGCTATCTCATGCTTCACATAGAGTACCATAAAAATTTCAAAGCCATTGGGTAAGCAGAACTTGCTGTATCCAAAATAACAGGTGGCATGTCTATTTTTAGCATAATTAGGAAACCCTATTGAAAAGTGTCAAGCAACAGATTTCTTATTTTTCCTAGTATCATTCTAGCATAATAATAGCACTCACCAATTTTTACCCTAACTGGATCTATAGAAAAATTATGAAAATTCACTCAAGATCCACTCATGCAAACAAGATAATTTTCTATCTCCTACATACAATGTCCAAAATACATAAAAATTTAACTACAAGTTATTCATGATATGAGCAATACACCATAAAAATTTCATGCCATTTGGAGCTACCTAGAAAAAGATATAATTACCTCTATTTCTGGCATGATTAAAAGAGATAAATAGAAACTCCCATTTTTATAACAGAACATGGCATGGATTATATTTTTAATAGAAACTAGACATTATCATGAACTTAACAAAATTAGAACCACCTCATTTGAATCTATCAACTAGGAGATACATATTTTTGAATATCTATACAAATATGTGAAAAGAATAAAACAAAAACACATTTGAAAACCTATCAACTACTGGTGGGCCGGCCCGAAGAAACGGCGGCCCGCGAAGCAAGCGCTGGCGTGGCCTAGAAGCGGCGCGGCCCAGCCAGGCTCCCGCCTGCGTGCGTCAGCGACTGACGTGCGGGTCCCATGCGACAGAGAGACAGGCAGGGGAGGAGAACAGGGCGGCGGCGAAGCTCATCGCCGGTGACTCTTCCGGCGAACCCGACGGTGCTACGGCGTTCACCACATCAGTGCACATCTAGCAGCGCCCTCAATCGAAGCTATTGTCGCAGCTAGAGGGGGTGGTGACGGCCACGGCATGCCCGGCTCCGGCGAGACGACGGCGTCGCAGACCTAAAGAATGACCCTACGAGCATAAGTGGTATTCACTGGACCTAGCGCAAGGGAGAGAAGAGGATGGGAGGGTCACGGCGGCGGTTGTCCGCGTGGAGCAACAACGCTGGCGAGGTCAGCCATGGCGGCGGTGGAAGGAAACGGCGATTTCGCCCTTACCAAGGCACAATTGGATCGACGGTGAGGTGGAGGAGGTAGAGGAGATCACTGCGAGGCTAGGAGCGAGATGGCCGGCGTGTTTTTGCAGCGACGAGCGTGCACGACGACGACGACGCTCGGTCGGGAGTGGTGGACGGCTGTGGCTCGACGCTGCGCGCGGAGAAGGCGAGAGGGAAGCGAATGGGCTGGCGAGTGCGTCGGGCAGGCACTGGCCCTCTTCTAGAGCGCGGACGCGCGACGTGGTGGCGTCGGCAGAGCATGCACGCCACGCGGCGATCCTCTCCTGAGCCGGTCGGCCATGGTGACACTGACCGTTTTCTAAAAATGGCGATTCAGTGTTCGATGACTATGACTGACAGCGAGTATTCACCGTGTCAACACGGATAAACCAATGATCCTTTGCAAAAACTGTGTACATGAAAAATATAGGTCAACCATCCATCTACAACTTCTTTTCAAGGACCATGATCTAATTTGCCATGGATCAGCAGTTACATCAAGCCAAAGTGGGCTTGATCCAACTGAAAATGTAGTTATGACTTAGAATATTTTCTAAGTGTGAAATCAGCATGGAATTTTGACTTGTGGGCCATGTTTGAGGCTGTTCCACACATTTTCATGAGTTGATCATGAAACAACTTTTGTTCCTTGATAAATTAGCTACAACTTTGGTAAAGAGTACACATCCATGCAAAGTCTCTAAGTTGGTCTTTTGAATCAGTCAAACAGTGCCACTCTAGGGTAATTTAAAGTCAAACCTCCACTTGAGGGCATTTTGGTCATTTTGATCTACATGAACAATGTCCCAACAATTACCCTAAGTGTAGTTAAGGTGTAATAGACCATGATCAACCACTTTACACAATTGTTATACCAATTTTCTAATGATCACATGTGATGAAGTAACAAAACAAGCAATTCACCCAAATGTTGCAATGCAACGTTTCACATGTTTCATGACTTTGTTGTCATTTTATACTTGTCACATTACTACCGTATTGCCATGTTTCAAAGTATGAGAAATTCATGTTGCATTCACATGTTACACCATTACTATTCACAACAATTAAGTACGAAACACACACAGTTGAAAATGTTGCATATGCATGTTTCAATAACAATGGCATGATGAGATAGATGATGCACATGTTTATGAAATAAAATGCAATTAGTGGAAGCCAAACACCTAGGGTGTTACAGTCGGCACCCACCGCCGCCGAGGTCGAAGCAGTCCTTCGCCTGCAGTCCTTGACGAGGTGCCCGAATCCGCGACAGCGTAGGCAACGCCGTGGCAACCGACAAGTCGCTACTCGGTGCGAGTAGGAGAGGCAGTTGAAGCATCTGCCGTGAAGCTCTGTCGGGATCTTCTTGACCAGCGAGACTTGCCCTTGGCTAGGACGAGGCCCCGTCGAGGCAGCAGCAGCAGATCCTGAGACCTGCCGGGGGAAAATCTCATGCCACCCATCGTTGTTGGGGGTGGAGACCCGTCCACGACGGCTGAGTTGTTGGCGGGCAGGGACACGGCCGTCCACTGGCCGCACAGGCAAGCCGTTCACCAGCTGTGGACGTGGCCGGTTGCGCTTCCTCCGCCTACGGCCATGGCCCCGTTCAGCACCATCACAGCCATGCAAAGGCCCAGGTCTGCGGCGCCCGAAAACCGCGGCTACTAGCGAACTTTATAGCTTCTACAGAAAATATGACACATTCCATCATTAAAATTGGTAGAGATGCAAATTCTGTGGCTGACAATCTCGCAAAGAAAGCAAGGCGAACTGTAGTTCCTAGTTCTTGCTTGTTTTCTTGCGAGGCTTGGACTCATTCCAGAAATTGTACTGTCCAGATGGCCCTGGAAAACTTTCAATAGGGCAATTTTTGCCCCATATCTGTATCTTGTATTTAGGCTTGGAATGAAATTACCGTTTCAGAAAAAAAAAATGGAAAGCTTCTGCAAAGCTGCCTCACACTCACTTGCGAGAGCCCAGAGTACGTACTCCGTACTGGTATTGGTGGTGATGACTTGTCATTTCCACACCGCCGCCACAGCCAACACCGAGCCAGGCCTCGTTTAGATTAAGAAAAATTTCAAACCGATGAATAGTAGTATTTTCGTCTTATTTGGTAAATATTGTTCAATCGTGGACCAACTAAGCTCAAAAGATTCATCTCGTGATTTCCAACTAAACTGTGCAAACTCTATGCAAACGGCTAAAAATTAATATAATGGAGAGAGAGTGAAAAAACTTGGAATTTTAAGGGTAGGCCCCATTCCAAAACCGAGCCATCCCGTCAGCCCGTGGGCTGTGGGTCCGTGACCCGTCCACTCAACGGCAGGCTCATCGCGGGCTCCCCACTGCCACGCGGGCCCCACGCACGCCCAACCAATCCCCCGTCCCTCGCGTATTTGATCGCAGCCGGGAGTTCCTCTCTCCGGACTCCGGAGGCTTCCCTCGCAGCCTCAAGCTCAACTGCCAACTCGCTCCCTCCCTGCCCGGAAGGTGGAGGAATCCCCCTAACCCCTAAACCCTACACGCGGACCAGCTCCAACGATGCAGGCGGCGTCGGGCCAGCAGCAGCTGCTGCCGCTCTCGGCGGCGGTGTCTTCGGAGCTCGCGCGGCTGAAGGCGGAGGTCAGGCAGGACGCGGACCCACTGGCTCGCTCCCGTCTCGCGGGGCTCGGCGACGCCGCCGCGTCGCGGGTGCTCGCGAAGATCTGGGAGAATCGGCTCAGGGTGAAGAGGCTGTCTGCCTACATCATGCGGATGGTGGAGATGGAGGTGACGACGGAGCGCAACGCCCGGGGGACCCCCGCCGCCGAGAGCTCCGTCCCCTTACGCCGCGCCATCCAACCACAAGGTCTCGCTGCAGGATTTGTCTGCTGCTCTTGGTTTTGCTGCTGGTGTTTCGTTCAAAAAAAGTTTTGCTGCTGGTGCTCCACTGCTCCGTGCTTAGCTGTGGTGCTCGGCTGCTCGCCGCTCGTTGTCACAAAATACTCTGTTTGCCAGTTGCTCGACCCGTTTTCCTGGATTCCCGCCAAGCAATACAATGCTTTGACCCTGCCTGCTGTTCATGCTCTTCTTTCTCGTGTTACGATTTTGGTAACTGCCGTGATTGATTTCGTCCCTCCAAATTTGCTCACGTCATTGTCTTGTGTGTTTCGCATTAGACTGTCTCCAACGAGCGGACCTAAAATCAATAGGCATTAGATGGTTTGGTACCGGCACAGTGAAAAGAACCCGGACCCAAAAACTACCTTTTCCAACCGGCGACGCAAACGAGAAGCGGCGCGCCGCCCGCCTCGTCGCGCTCCTCCGCCCGCTCGTACGAGCTCCGGCAGAAGGGGCACGCCGTCCAGAACTCCAGCCACCACCACCAGTGCTCATCAGCCAGCCCTCTGTTCTGTTTGACAAGAAGAAGGAAGAAGGAAGCAACAAGGCCGGAGGGGAAGACGAACCTAGCTCCAGCCAACATCCACCCCGTACGTACATTGTGACAGGTGAGAGAGCTTGGGAGGCTGCTCTGCTCCTTTCTTGCCTCTTGCATTTTCTTCTCTCGCTCGCGCTCCAATCTTCTTGCGGTTTACTAGTACGAGTACTAGCTGTTGCTGTCTTCTCTGCCTTGCGACATTTCCTGGCATTTCAATCGGTTGCTGCACGCGGTCTCTTGCAGTCGCTACAACAAGGAAGGGAAACGAGGCCGCCGCGTCGACATGGGAGTCCTCTTCTCGTGCCCCGCCGACGACTACGACCCGGTGGACCTGCAGGAGGAAGCGCCGGCGCCGGCGACGTCCTCCACCGTGGGCGCAGGGGAGCCAGCGCCGGCCATCCTCAGGGCGAGGAGCTCGTCGGCGCCGGGGAGGAGCGGGTCCGCCTCCACCGCCCGCTCTGCGAAGCGCTTGCAGCCGACGAGGTCGCGCGCCGCGAGGAGCTTCTCGGCGATCTCCAGCCCGCCTAGCCGCGCCGGCCATGGACCCGCCTCACCGAGCCGGTCCGCCTCGCCCCGCTGGCCGCTCCCCGCCGTGTTCCCGCCTGGCCGCGCCGGCCGCGCCCCGTCGCGGTCCCGCCTGGCCCCGTCGTCGTCCACGGCGCCGGAGATTTGGGTCGAGGAGAGAGACGACGCAGATTTGCGTTCTCCATCACCTCCCACCCAAAATGCGTTCGCCTTTTGCGTCGTCCGTTGGACCGTATGTTTTTGCCATAAAGCGACGAAGAGCATGCATTTTGCGTTTGGGTACCGTGATGCGTCAGCTGTTGGAGATGGTTACGCCGCATGTCTTCTTTCGTACAAGTAATAATGAACTCTCTTGTCAATCAGAGGATTCCGTACCGGATCCACTGTACTGCAGTGATGTTCCGATGGAGGATCAGAGCCCCAATGCCGAAATACATTCTATTACAAGGGGTTTTCAAGAAATGGTTGGTCCATCAGGAAGGGTTGGGATGGCAACACCAACTTCTGTTGCTGCTGGGAATTCTTTGAGAGCAACAGCAAGCCCTCAGATGTTAGCACTGGGGGAGATGGAAGAGTTTGATCGAATTTTCCTGATACTTGTGTACCTTGCAGAGTAAGTCTTCATTGGCTTTATTTTTTCCCCTGCATATTTGGATCTAATAACTTGATGTTTTCCAACTTCAGCAGAGAAGGAGTTCTATGATTGATCCATTTATCTTATATATGGAATAACAGACCTAAAATCAGCTTTTCCCTTTAGTGCAATTGCGGCCGTATCTTCTTATTTTACATAGTATCAGTTTCTTAAATGTGTTACTTTTTCTCTTTTTTTCCCCCTCTATCTTTAGCTCTAATCCATCTTGCCTCTTTATATTCGTATAGCAAGAAACTGGAGGAAGTAATACAAGATATAAATTATATAATGTATCTAAAGTCACTGCCCATGGATTCCTTCGAGCCAGAAATCTGGAGCAGATTTGGAAGCAAATATATACCTGCATCAGATAGAAGAGAAGTAATATATCGCCCTTGAACTTTTGTTGCATTTCTCGTTATTTTTTCCCATGTCAGTCATATGCTGCATCTGTACACATACATACACAGCTTTTTATTTCATTACAGATTCTCAAGTGTCACAATCTTTATTATCTGGAACTCAATAGACATATGAAGCCTTGCAGGACATGTTTTCAAGAAAAATTGTTGCATGTGCATCTGTAGCATAGCCATACAATATTTTTCAATTTTTTTTTCTCGAACACGCAGGAGAGCTGCATATCATTATCTATTAAGAAGAAGAATATTTTTCAATTAGAAGAGAAGTTCTTTGAATTTGGTATTTAATTAATTAAAATCCAATATACTAGCTCAGGTACATCCATCTGTTTATTATTTCGAAAAGGTTGGTAACTTGGTATTTTAGTATCCTGTAGAAAGTTCACATCACCTTTTGCCTTATAAATGTCTTCATAGCTAACAAAATAAATCGGTGAAATGCTCATTTATTTCAAGAACATATGCTTATGACACTTCGCATTTCGGAATTTGCAGTCATTTAAGTCTTGATATATGATTAATAATTTACTAAAAAACCAAGGACATCGTCAGCCATTGATACTAGCGTAGGCACAATAATGCCATAATGGATTTTATTTTTTAATAGAAGAATGTTGTCTTGGTATGGATGTTCCTATTTTAAACTTTTAGCGTTGTGCATCTCCTAGCACTTAGTAGATCCATGTAGGTTCAGCATTAATACCTGAGTAAGGTAGTCTGGCACTCTGGGTTTTCACGTGGATGCCTCAGTACAGAATGCTCGCAGCTATCTCATAGAACTATTTGCTTTAGTTCCTAAAATTTTGCAAAATTTTTCAAGATTTTCCGTCACATCGAATCTTTGGACGCATGCATGAAGCATTAAATATAAATAAAAAATAAAACTAATTACACAGTTTAGACGAAATTTACGAGATGAATCTTTTAAATTTAGGCCTTGTTTAGTTGGCGATTTTTTTTGGAAATGGTACTGTAGCACTTTCGTTGTTATTTGGCAATTAGTGTCCAATCATAGTCTAATTAGGCTTAAAAGATTCGTCTCGTGAATTTCGTCTAAACTGTGTAATTTGTTTTATTTTTTATTTATATTTAATGCTTCATGCATGCGTCCAAAGATTCGATGTGACGGGGAATCTTGAAAAATTTTGCAAAATTTTGGGAACTAAACAGGCATCTAATTAGACTATGATTGGACACTAATTGCCAAATAACAACGAAAGTGCTACAGTACCATTTCTCAAAAAATTTCGCCAACTAAACAAGGCCTTACTAATACATACAGAACCTTGATTGGGACCCAAGCAAACCAAGACAGTACTTCTGCAATGTTGAGCAAAGACATGGTGACTTGATAACAATTTTTAAGGTTGGCAATATTCATATTCTCTTTTATTAGTGCTTCCGTGCGATAATCTTTTGTACTGCCATGCTCTCCAATTTATTTCATACTTATGTTTGGAGATTGGGTTGGGGCCTACAGGTGCAAGCAACCTGTTTTGTGGAAGTGCAAGATTGTTGTTCCAAAAAGGCCTAAAATTCATAGACATAGTACATGAAAGCTCTCATTGTCAAATCGGTTGTAGGGAGAAGTAATTCCCCACGAACTATTCATGCACACTTCATGTACTAAAAAGGAAAAGAGGCCAACCTAGGGCTAGGAGGAACTGTGTGTGAGTCACTATGGCACACGAATAGTAGATTGATTCAATGTGTACAGAGGGTACAACACTACAACATATATAGGCAAGGATCGGTGTAGGGTTTATGTAACACCCTCGGTGTTACATTGTACCGTTTTGTTAAAACACCGCATGAGCATCATATTTATGTGCATATGTGTAACATGAATTATAAATTTTATGCTTCTGTCTTGTGTTACAGCTTCCCAATAAGACCATTCATATTAGACCATCAATGATAAAGATAAAGGCAGATTCAAATTCATTAAATGGGCAGCCATTTAACTCTTTTGAAGTAGTTACTACAAGGTATGAGTATGATAAAGTAATATGGAATTGTATTTATTGTATTTTTATTGCTTTGGTAACATTATACATGTATATGCTGTTACCTTTCCATTTTACTCTACTTCTCTGGAAAACCTATGTATATGCACCTTCTCATCAAATGAAATATTCTGGTCATTTCTCCAAATACTGTGTAGGATGATGCAAGTTTACCAAATAGGTAAGCTTTAGGTGCATTGCTTGGTGTAACACCCTCGGTGTTATATTGTAATGTTTTTGCTAAAACACTGCATTAGCCTCATGCTTGTTTGTACATGTGTGTGATTTGGAGTATAAGTCGATATACGGCAGTTGAAACGTTCATCCGAAACGGAAAATAAATGTTAAGTTTCATGTCGCTTTATATTGTTTAGTATTCTAAACGGATTTTTATTAAATAAAAATGATGTAGATCGTGTATGTGAACTTTAATAAAATTTGTAGGACGTACTCAGTAGTCGACAATGAAGCAGGTAGCTCGGAATTGAATTCGACGCGTAACCGTGCACGTCACCTATGTCGAACTATGTTGGACTGGCCGCGGTCACCTCTGTTGCCTCGGTTGCCTGCCACCGCATGCTTGTGCACTACGCACGAGTCCTTTCAGCTCTGCACTCGCGTGGGTCGACCGCGCGGACAATCGCCTGGGCACGTCTCAATGTTTCCCGTCGTCATGTGCACGCGTACCTTGCGTTAATGACCGTGGATGTGCCAACGCCTCTGTCTCCGCTGTCGCCATGACCGACGGGACCTCTCGTTTTCAATTCGCCGTGACCGTAGCGCGTTAATGAAATTCGTCGCGTCCGCGGCTCCGCTAGACAGCCAGCTGCTCGATTGACACCACCTCGCCGATCGTAGCGTCTCACTGTGCTCCAATTTTGGATTCGTCGCTCCGCCTGCTCCATAAGACCGAGGTGGTCTGCATAGACGACATGCCGCACAACCATAGCTTGCCATTTTTCAAGCCACCGCACTGCTAGCTTCTCCTCCAGCTGCTCATCGCACTGCCCACTTCATTCAAAGCTCCACCGTCATTTTGCGTCTTCTTCGTGGCCGGCGGAACCTCGCCCGAGCAGAGCGAGCAGCGACCGGCGGTGCGTTACTGTTTATATTAGCTTGCTGACGTCAGCATGACGTCACCCCTACGTCACACGTGTTTGTGGCCGCTTTTCATGTAGGAAAATAAAGCCGTAATACGTTGAAATACGCCTCTGGGGGCCGCTGCCGCTGGCTGGGCCGCGCTGCTCGCGCCCGCTGCCGCTGCCGCGCGCCTGCTCGCGCTGGCGCCGCGCCCCCGCCGTGGGCCGGCCTGCCGCGCGCGCTCGGCCCGCTGCCGCTGCTGCCGCGCCCGCGTGCCCTCTCGCTCGCGCCTGCCGCGTCGCGCGCGCGTCTGCGTTGCTGGGCCTGCGCCGCGTCCGCGCTGCCGCGCTGGGCCGCGCCCGCCTGCTGGGCTGCGTCGGACCGTGTGGGCCGCGAGTGAGGTTTCGTTTTCTTATTTCCAGCGAATTTGCTACTGCTTATTCAATTCAGTTTCAAGCTAAACTTCGATAATTAGTAGTAAATTGCATGGTTGTCCAAAAATAGTGAAACCAAGTTTGTTAGGTTCACAAAAATGCCATCTACCTGTTAGTACAGTTAGTTCACCATTAACTGTTAGGATGGTAGGCTCATAGGATTAAAGTAGAGAACTTAGCGGTATATCGATCTTTAATTGCAGGATTTGTTGTGGTAAACCGGTAATAATTTTAGCTTCGGAATTGTTACGGTAGGGTCCTTAGACCTTTACTTACTTGCTGTAAAATAGGTAGCCTAGTACCGTGGTCGATATCCATAGCTTAGTAGCTAAGTCAATGTACTTTTATTTTAAGAGCTGCTGTTGTTATATTCCTAAGCATTGCATCATCATTTCATGCATGTAGATCACGAGCTGGTAGACTTCGTGCCCGTCGTCGAGCCGGACTACGACGAGGTGATCGAGGAGTACGAGGAGGAGATCTTCGCACAGGAGGAAGCCCAGGAGCCTGTTGGTGCTGACTTTGCTGACCCGGCACCTGCTCAAGGCAAGCCCCGGTGCATAACCCCTATTTTTAAATGATCACTGAATATATTTATATGATATGCATTTACGTTACAGGCATTTTATCGAAACTACATGCATATATATATCCACCATGGGTCCTACTAGTGCAGGTCGAGTAGCTGCTATGCTCAGGATATCGGTAGCGTGAGTAACCTGCCGTTACTCGCAAATAGGTGATTACACTATGATATCATGATGAAATAATGGAAAGGAAAAATGGTGACCGGACGGGGATGTGGATTTGGTACGGGTGGGTGTGAGGGTTGTGTCCTGCGGCCAATAGGGCATAGCCCTTGTTACACTTTTTCCACACGCAGTGTCGATTAAGGACCGGTCGTTGCATATGACTCTATGCAAGTCACAGACCATTGTCCCGAGCACATACTTGGGTATGGGCGCAGGGGAAGATTCTTCGCTCTCTTGTCGTGGATCCGGACCGGTGATGGGAAGATGAGGTGGTGGAGGTCCTTGCGCCAAGACCGAGTCCGGATTCAGAGGCGGAGGCTTGGAGTCCAAGTTTGACGGGACGGGGACATGGACACCGGGACAGAGAGTGGTGGG